TTATTTGTGCATCGCGGTCGGTATCATAGCATGACCACATGCGACTTCACTCAATTTATGCAAACTGGATCTTACTAGCTACTAGCTAGCCACAAATCTGAAAAATTACAGAACGTAATAAACGTGCTTTACCTTTTACATTAGCTTGCAGTTTAGTATAAGTACTACGGTGTTCGTATGAACTAGTTAGTCAAACATATGTCGCATAAACGGGGTGATAGCTGGGCAGGAAAATGTTTGTTGTGATTCGTAGGAATGCTAACGCAGAGCAGCTAAGCTAACCAGCTAACGATGACAACACCGGGCTGATTCTGCCACTGAACATGCATTTTCTAAAATAACGGGAGGCTGGTATTGCGCAACTGACGACATGATTCCCGGTTACCTGGTTTCTCCGTCCGAAGAGTGGCACACTTGTTATCTAACTCAAAAATCCTCCTCTCCAGCTCGACGCTTCGTCTGTAGTCGTCGGCCATGACTGCAAAGCGACAGTCACGTGACGAGCGCGCGATTACTCACGTGCGAGGATTACAGGGATGCTTTCTTCTTTCATTTCATTCATAAACTTCACGCCTGGCACTTACATCAAAGTAAGAGCTTACTTTGTCCACCCTTACCCAAATTATCCCCATAATACTCTTTGTTTGATAACAGTGGATTGAAATATTGGCAGAAGTGATGAATGGGAGTCCGACTCATTTCCGCGAATCGATTCTTTCAAACAGTTGTTTTTATAAAGAGTCACTTCAAAGAAAGATTCATCAATTATTTTAGGTTATGACGTAATTATGCCATCACGTGGTGTCATGTTGTGCTTGTGCCTATTTCAAAATTATACCGATTAGCATTTTTTCCTGTTACTTTTTGTCATTTACTTTTGATAATTACTGTTATTATGGGTTTTATGTATGCATTTTTATTAGTTGTATTTGCATTTTATTTATTTATATATTTATTAATTGATTTATTTGTAGACAATAATAATTTTCCCTGACTGTTGTTGTTGTTTTTCTGTTATATAGAAAAGATTTCTTTAAATTAAAAAAACCTTAAAAAACATTTTTAAAAAGCACAAGTAGGCTCACTTTATATGATATTGAGCACAAATACGACACACATATTAAATATCATTTAAAAAATAGCCAAACAATGTACATTCATTTTTGTTTTTTAGTGTAAGTAATAAAAAAATGGTTTTATGGTGCTACATCTCTCTTTACCATCTAGTGATTTCTTATATAATATAATTAATATAATATAAAATAATATAATATAATGTAATATAATATAAAATAATATAAAATAAAATAATATAAT